ACTGTATTTTCGCTACCTTACTTTATTTTTGCTTCCTACAGGTGCACCCTTTTTCTTTTTATTACCTATTATAATACATATGTTGATGAAAAATTTGAGATATTGTTGTTCACCCCCCCACCCCCCCACCCCCCCCCCCCCCCCTATATAATGTTGTTGATATCCAAACTAATCTAATTCCTTTTATAAGTTGTAACAAAATAGCACTTTTTGTACACCTTTTGTAGTTATTTTGTACTTCAATAAATCTTTATTGTGAAAAAAATATATATTTTGGATAGAGGACGGAATGATTAAAACCTCTTTCAAAATATCTGTGTCCCTATTGGAAGATTTTCCTTTACTTCACATTGCAGCAACAGCAAAAACTGTATTATTTGTAGCTAACTTGTGTTTTTGTGTTACCTACTATATATATATTTGATAAAATCCCCATGATTTTCTTTTACCTAAGCTGTTCTAGTTATTTATATATAAAGTATAACCACCCTAGCGACACTTCTTTTTAAGTCATACTGTTACCGAATAAAACTGATAATGAATATGATAAATATGAAGATTATAATGGTGATGATGAATTCACCTGCCTAGGCATGGAGACAAGTTGGGCACTCCAATGGGGGTCTGTAATCATAAAAAGGTTAAGAAACCCTGTTCTGAATTTTCACATCGTGCCCCCCATTATGAGTAAGTACATATTTCAAGTCTTAAGAATATTCAAACATCTTTCTTTTGTGTGCTGCGGTAAATAACCCCCTGCTTGTATCTGTTTTTCCATCACCGAACCATGGAAAGCTTAAGGCAATGGCAAAGTGTGAACCTGTGTTGACTTTTAGCAGCACATCCAGTGAGAAATGGATTGTGTAGTTCAAGTAAATAAGCAGTTTAGTATTCCATGGACTAGCTAAGCATACGTTGCAGTCTGCGGTATCTACTGGGAATGATTTCTTCCACATATATTTTTATGCGCCTTCCCTTTGTTGTTGATTTATTTCCCACCAGACAACTTTACTGTGTACTCTATCAAAAACAATCGTTGTTAATTGTAAAACTTATGTTTGTAATTGTTGCACGTTACCTGTGCTGTGCAGAGGGATACATCGGTACTTTATAAATAAATTATGCCAGTATTAAATCTTCTACCTTTCTTGACTGATGTGCATTCCTGACCCCCTAAACTTTCTCGGCTGGATTCCTATTAATCTCTGCATAAGCTGCACGATTTTCCTCCTTCCCCTAAAGGTTGTACTTTTCTCTGGCACTTCTATATTTATAGAATGAGAACTGTGATTGAAACTTTCAAATACAGGAAGGGATTAAACACATACACACATAACACACACAAAAGCACATCTGGGAGAAGGGAAATGTTAGAACAAGATATTGCGTTCCAGAGGGGGCACCAAGCACAGGCCATTGTGAAAGATGCTCAAATTCTTTAGAAAGGGTGAAGGAATTACAAAACACATTCCCAGAAGAGGAGGTTATAAAAAAAAAACGCCTCACAGGATAAAGGATTAAGGAACAAATAAAAATAATAAAAGAACCCTGATATTTTCTAGATGGGAAGCTCTACTTATGAGAAGAAGAGGGTAAGGATTAAAAGGTATCAGGGATATTACATGGATGGCAAGTTGCTTACTTGCTAGAAAAAAAAGAACATTTATTTCTGAAACATGTTTCCATGTTCCAAGCAAATATAAAGCGAACCCTTTTCAAATTCACTCCAACTTCCTTAAATGTATTTTAAATATTGGTTGTGTCACTATCTACAATTCATTTTTATATTTAATGCTTACAAAAATCCACAACTCTTTTATGTTTTGGAAGTGCTGAAAGGTTTAATTGCTGACTGGGAACAGAAAGGTATGCGATAATCCAAAATGTTATAGTTGTCAGTGGACCAGAAAGTGAGAAGAAAGCTACCAATGAGGATACTTGTTTTGAAGATCATTAGGGTGCCTCCAAGGATAAGGAAAAAAAAAGAAAAAAAGAGACAGAAGCTGTGGGACAGTTCCTTATGGTGTAGTAGTTTGACAAATAATTGCATAAAAAATATATGATGAGAAGGTAAATTGCAAAAGGGTGCTCACATATGTGAGGTTGCTGAGCTCCCTAATAGGGAATTAGACAACCTGGAGTGAAAGCCTGCAGTGGATATGACTGTCTCATCACACTGTAAGGTCAATCTCCATGCTAGGCTGGGGTGATCTGGACGATCCTACGCTCTGTGGTCTCAGGATTCCAATGTGCTCACAGAAAGAGGTCTATGAGCCCCAAAGGATGGGAATGTGGTGTCAACAGAGGTGCCCATATGTGAAGAAGAAGCTGAGAAATGGATTCTTCATTGGTTTGATATTTACTGCTCACAGAACATTAAAAAACACCATCATTTTATACTATTCTGTGATCAATAAATATTAAATCAATGAGGAATCCATTTTTCAGCTTCTCCTTCACATTTGGGCACCTTTGCTGACACCACTTTCCCATCCTTTGGGACTCATAGACCTTTTACTTGTTTTGATGATGACTGTCATAGAGGGGATTTTCACTCACTTTGAAAAAAAATGTTTTTGTTACTTTCTGTTGGGAAATAAGCACATGAAGTGAAAGAAAATTTCTGCAATGAGGCACAATAAAACCTGACAATGCTTTAACAGTTCAATATGCTACTCAAAACTTAAAAATAAGGGGAAAACTGTTTTGATGAGGACTGCCTTAAAGGGGTTTTTCACTTGCTTTGAAAAAAAAAGAAAAATTGTATCAATACTTACTATAATTTTCCTGCCCTGGTGTCTATCCATGGCAGCATACACACCCACCCTCAGTATTCTATTTTGAAGGAGAATGGTATTTTTATGGAGTATGTTTTCTTTTGCCCCTCTGCACTCTTCTATTTTGCCCTCATCCAAGATGGCCACTAGGGTGTTTCCACCAGACGTTTTGGTCGCTTTCTGTTGGGAATTCAGCATGGGAAGGGAAGGGAAATCTCTCCAATAGGCCAGTATGAAAATAGACAAATATTGAACTATTCAATACACTACCCAAAACTAAAGAAGAAAAGCTTTGGCTTTAGTTATAGCTTTTTGACCTATACCAAGACATTATTATAAAACTGTCAGGACTCTGTTATAAATAAAGGGCGAAAGGACAAATATTTACCTTGCTAGTAGAAAATATGGTTCAGGCTCCCCCCAGCACTATCACACTTGCAAGGACTTAGATCATTGGAAAAATGTTCTACGCAAGTCTGAACTTTGATCTTCCCCTTTATCAGAGATCACATGACCACGTGTCTATGCCTTAAAACAGGGATCTCCAAACTATGGCCCTCCAGGTGTTGAGGAACTGCAAGTCCCATGAGGCCTTGCAAGACTTTGACAGCCACAGGCAAGTTGTAGAACTTCAACAGCTGAAAAGCCATAGTTTGGAGACCCCTGCCTTAAAACATGTGGTTAGCACTGAATGATACTTGGATACACATTTTCCCTAGGAACACACAGCAAGGATTAGTAGGAGTTCTAAATTACTAAACACCTACATATTAAAAACAAAATTTCTGCACAGGTGCAATGCTCGCCCCAGTAACAGAGGTTAGAGATTATAGCTGGCAAATGCAACTTCATTAAAGCACCCCCTGTTACTTTAAAGGGATAATACCTACTTTACAGAGGTTGCATGAAACCCTTTCAGTATCAAAAATTGCAGTTTGATGTTTTTTTAGATGTTCTCTTTTGGAACTTCCAGCAAGTAAAATTTCTGCTTAGTTCTCTCTGTTAGGATAGGTACTGGGAAGATTTGTTTACCATAATTAACCCTGACTGTACTGTGCAGAGCAGATATCTCTTCAATTGTACTAGATTTGAACACAGTCTACCCAAACAAAAGTTGAAAGGTTTAGGAGCCAGGCTCTTTCATTGTATGTTAATGAAAACTGGACTCAGCCAGTCCCCAACCCAGCTATTAGGACAGATCAACAACAAGCAGAAAAGTCTCCTGCACAAAAGTGAAGTAGCCTAATTCACAAGAAATCCCATGGAAGATCAATTCAAGTCTTTCTGCCCTCTAGGACTGGGGATGTCCTGTAGCAACTAGAAAGAAACAACAGAGAGAGAGGGTACACCAGACTAGTGCATTATCCAGAGAATGTTTAATAAAAAATCAAAATCAAAACGACTCACAAGCATAAAAGATTACACGCTCATCATGCCACTCATCCATGGCCAAATGGAACCATAGCCCAGGCACAGGGGAACCACACTGGGGTCCTAAAAGGCTAACGCTTTTCAAAGGTCAGTTCTTCTTCCTCAGAACCTAACTCTAAAAATGATCACATAACCAGATTTATAGCTTCCATCACATCATGGGAACCTGGAACCCCCCCTTGCTCCTCCTATTATGGGAGGGGTCTGTTATCAGTAACAATATACCAGTAATGGAAAATATATACACTATATTACCAAAGGTATTGGGACTCCTGCCTTTACATGCACATGAACTTTAATGGCATCCCAGTCTTAGTCCAAAAGATTCAATATTGAGTTGGCCCACCCTTTGCAACTATAACAGCTTCAACTCTTCTGGGAAGGCTGTCTACAAGGCTTAGGAGTGTGTCTATGGAAATGTTTGACCATTTTTCCAGAAGCGCATTTGTGAGGACAGGCACTGATGTCAGACAAAAAGGCCTGGCTCGCAGTCTCCACTCTAATTCATCCCCAAGGTGCTATATAGGGTTGAGGTTAGGACTCTCTGCAGGCCAGTCAAGTTCCTCCACCCCCAAATGTGCTCGTCCATGTCTTCATGGACCTTGCTTTTTTGTGCACTGGTGCATAGTTGGAACAGGAAGGGGCCATCCTCAAACTGTTCCCATTGTTCCAGCATGAAATTGCCCAAAATGTCTTGGTATGCTGACGCTTTAAGAGTCCCTTCACTGGAACTAAGAGGCCAAGCCCAACCCCTGAAAAACAATCCCACACCCTAATCCCCCCTCCACCAAAACTTTACACTTGGCAGGCAAGTACCATTCTCCTGGCAACCGCCAAAGCCAGACACGTCCATCAGATTGCCAGACAGAGAAGACTGATTCATCATTCTAGAGAACACGCCGCCACTGCTCTACAGTCCCCAGTGGCGGTGTGCTTTCCACCACTGCATCTGACACTTTGCATTGCACTTGGTGATGAAAGGCTTGGATGCAGCTGCTTGACCATGGAAACCCATTTCATGAAGCTCTCTATACCCTGCTGTTGTGCTAATCTGAAGGCCACACGAAGTTTGAAAGTCTTTAGCTATTGACTTTGCAGACATTTACCGACTTCTGTACACTGTGCTGTTCAGCATGCGTTGACCCAGCTCTGTCATTTTACATGGCCTACCACTTTGTGGCTGAGTTGCTGTTCCCAGTTGCTTCCACTTTGTTATAAACACCACTAACAGTTGATCGTGGAATATTAAGTAGCACGGAAATTTCATGGATGAACTTATTGCACAGGTGGCAACCTATCATGGTACCACGCTTGAATTCACTGAGATCCTGAAAGCGACCCATTCTTTCACAAATGTTTGTAGAAGCAATCTGCATGAATAGGTGCTTGATTTTATACACCTGTGGCTATGGAGGTGACTGGAACACATGAATCAAATGATTTGGAGGGGTGTCCCAATACTCTTGGAAATATAGTGTATATACAATCATATAATGTTCTAATATTATACAATACTACTATTGTATGGAAACATAAATGCATACATATAAATACACATCTGTATATGCATCAATATTATCCTCCATGAAAGTGCTGGACTTTATGGAAAACATATGGAAATGCACATTACTCTATGTGTGAGCATACTTGCTAGAAAATACAGGCTTGATCTGGAACAGCCCATTCTAACGGCCAGAAACAGATGACAATGTAACCCAGAAAAACAGGCTACAATCAAGGCAGGTATAATACAGTCATGACCAAGGTCAAGGATAAGGGTGCAGCACGAAGCCTGTATCAAAAAAGTACCACCTCAAGCCTTGAACCCTGGTCTTCAAATAAGGAACACAGCTCCCCTGGCCAATGGGAGTCAAGAATGCTAGGCAGACAGAGCTGACCTTTTATTTAACAACGTGGATGATGGGAGGTGGAGACAAATGACACAAGAGCAAAAGAGTGCGCAAAACGCTCCTGACAGCAGGTAATTTATAGCCCTAGTCTAGTTCAAGTTTTCAACTTTTGACTGGAGTATACATCAAAATATAATGATCATTAAAACTTCAATACATAAAGTAGCATGAAAGAAGATGTTTTTTTCCTTGATCATTAAGAATGCCTCTAGAAATCATTTTGGTTTCCTGCTGAGAGCATTGGATTTATTTTGAATTTGTCATTTGCATCTGAAATTATTTTTGAGCGAGACATCCAACTCCTTCTGTCATCGTTTCCATGATTTTTCTTTTCCTCCTTACTCATTATTTTTTATCAGCTCTCCCACTCATTTATAATTTTTCTACCCACTTCTGGAAAATATTAGGCCTTTGTTCTACCAGGAAACATGGTTACTTTCCTAGGTGCCCATGTTTTTGCTACTACAGTACCTTCAGATTACTATTATTTTTATGATATTCAGGATGGGAGAGCTGCTGAATGATCAGACAGTAACTGTAAGTCAAATATTTGCTGAGCTGTGTGATAATTCTAAAAACCTCAAATCCAATTAAACTCATTACATATAAAAATGTGGTGTGATAAAACAAAATGTGCATCAAAGAATAAAGTTAAAGTGTTTCTAAAAGCCTGATTTTTATTTCTTTAAAATAACAAACACATCATAGTTACCTGCTTTGTGCAAACATTTTGCAAAGAGCAGCCCTGATCCCCCTCTTCTCGGGTCCCCCACTGATGCTTCTGGTTCCTCCCCCCCTCTGAATGCCCCCAGTGCAAGCTGCTTCCTCTGGGGTCACTCATGCGTGCTCACTACCGAAGCGCCTATTTGTGTCTATGGGCCAATGGCTCCCACTGCTCTCGTGCACATCACTGGATGGAGATGGCACTTACGTAAGCACTGGGGGGGGGGGTTCGGGGGGGCTGCGGCAAGATCTGCACACTGAAGGTTTTTAGAATGCATGAAAGCAAAAAGGCTTCAGCCTTTAGAACCACTTTAAGTGATAATAAAGCGTCTCTGTGATTAGTCCAGCAATAAGGTGTCAAAGATAATCAAACTTCCACCATCTTGATTGGACATAAAATACACCACCAGCCACTTTACCAAGCTAAGGGACAGTCTGTGTACAGGACAGTTGAGCTCTGTGCTGCTCACAGCTCCTCCTTCCTGTACACAGGCTCATTGAAGTGAATGGTTTTGTTTTTATGGGGGCTCTCTATAGATGACACCTTGGAGGATAAAGATGACCCTTCTCATCCTCATTATTCTGGGGGTGTCAGGGGTGGAGTGTTTTTTAAGACAGCTTGGTGTCTGACATTTGAGACCACATTTAAATTATGCGATCATGCTGTATGGGCTACACATTCAGTAGCAGTGAGTCTCATGAACGTTTAGTCTGACGGTTGTCTGCGAGGGTCAATACACTGGTGCATTTAAATTCAATTAATGTCATAGTGGAGGACTGATTATTTGTTTTAGCAAAGAATGCAGCAGAATACATTTTGGCCTAAATTTATCAAGAAATGTGATTTTTTACATATTTTTTATTGGATATGTTTTATAGCAAAAAATTTAAAATATTGTTTTTTTTTTTTCAAAATTGTCGGTCTTTTTTTTTTGTTTATAGCACAAAAATAAAAAACGCAAAAGGTGATCAAATACCACCAAAAGAAAGTACTATTTGTGGGAAAAAGATTACATAAATGTAATTTATGTACAGTGTTGTATGATCTTGCAATTGTCAGTTAAAGTAACACAGCACCGCATCGCAAAACAATGCCTGGTCAGGAAGGGGGTAAATCCTCTGGAAGGCAAGTGGTTTAAAGTGGATAAAAACAAATATACTCATAAACAAATATGTTGATATAGTGATATGGAAATAGATGTCCACTATCACAGTGGTGGGTAGGACCCAGATAAAGGCATATGCCAAGGAGCCGATGTCCCGAAAGCCATGGTGGCTTACATGTTTCAAGGGCAAGCCCTCTTCCTCAGAGCCAAAAAATATAGGACCCAATGTGTCCTATCTCATGTCACCTTTTGTCAAGGTCCTACCTTTTCCCTGAGGTTATGTTACTCCATGTGCTGGCGTCCATCTTGGATTCTGCTGTGCATTATGGGAATCCTTTTATGCCTTCAGGTTTCTGTGGTCCATCCCCCAGAGGGGTGTGGCTGATGACATATAAGCCTGTAGCCCGCACATGCTCTTTGCACTTGTGTCTTGTGTCTTTGTGTTGCTATTACTCTGTTCTGACTCTTGTGACTCTCCTGGTATTCTGATTCGGCTTTGTGACTTGACTATTCTTTGTATTCTCCTTTGATCTGACCCTCTGTTGCTGAACCCGGCTCGTGACCTGCTGTGATTCTCGTCTGCTGTCCTGTACCGTTTTGTCCTGTTGTTGTTGACCCCGGCTTGTCTGACTACTCTTTTGTCTCTTCCACCAGTTTACACGCCATTGGCGGCGGCCATTACCACAGCTGAGGTGTCTCGGGGGCCGCGACCTGGTTCCTGGCTGCGTCAAGTCCATCCCCACCATCAGGGGCCCTGGTGAAGGGCAGCCTGGGACTTAGACTCCGCGCCTGAGGGACTTCGGTCTGTGGGTGGTGGTTGTCGTCAGCCAGTGCGTTACATTGTTAGGCCTGCCTGTCCGTTCCTCAGCTCCTGCCCTGACATTACACAAGTGCCATGAACCCTGACGGTGCAGGCACGCCTTCGCTCCCCAACGCTAGTCACCAGACTCGATCAACAGGATCACCTGTTGGATCAGTTCGCTCAGGCGTTGCAAACTCTGCTTGCACGCACTGCACACCTTGCTCTCTGGTGCTATTAGGCCGGTAGTCGCTCCGGTGGTCTCTCCCGCTGCTTCTCCGCCTATTGCGTCCACCACCTCGACGGCTGCATCAGCGGCGCCCAGAGGTATGACTGGTTCTGCCCCTCTTCCACAGTGCTTTGGGGGTGAGCCGAGTCAGTGTCGTGGGTTCCTCAACCAGGTGGGTATTTATTTTGAATTAATACCCCACGCCTTCCCGTCTGAGAGGTCAAAGGTTGGGTTCCTAATTTCACTACTCTCAGACAAGGCCTTGGCCTGGGCAAATCCCCCTTATGGGAGAGGAACGACCCGGTGATTCAAGATTTTTCCGGTTTGTGGATGCGCTTTCCCGGGGGCACATTCGTAAGTCTACTTCCCCAGCAGGAGCGGGTTTTTTTTTCGTAAAGAAGAAAGGTGGAGAATTGAGGCCCTGCATCGATTATAGGGGGTCTCAACCGGATTACCATTAAAAATGCATATCCAATTCCTTTGATTTCTGAGTTGTTCGACCGCCTTAAGGGAGCAACAGTCTTTACCAAACTCGACCTTAGGGCTGCGTACAACCTCGTACGGATCAGACAGGGGGATGAGTGGAAGACCGCGTTTAACACCAGAACTGGGCACTACGAAATACCTGGTGATGCCCTTCAGATTGTGTAACGCGCCCGCGGTTTTTCAGGAATTCATAAACGATGTCCTTCGTGATTTGTTGCAGCAGTGCGTTGTGGTTTACCTGGATGACATCTTGGTTTACTCTGCCTCCATGGAGTCCCATGTCCAGGATGTCAAGCAGGTGCTGCAAGGATTGCGTGAGAACGGACTCTTTTGTAAACTCGAGAAGTGCGAGTTCCATCGATCCCAGGTTGCCTTTTTGGGCTACATAATTTCCGTGGAGGGATTTTCCATGAACCCTCAGAAGGTTGCGGCGGTTCTGCAGTGGCCTCGTCCCAATGGTCTTCGGCCCATTCAGCGCTTTCTGGGTTTTGCCAACTACTATCGGAAGTTCATCAGGAACTTCTCCACATTGGCAAAGCCTCTCTCTGACCTAACCAAGAAGGGGAGTAACCCTCACGAGTGGCCATCCGAGGCCATCATAGCTTTCGAGGCTCTGAAAGCTGCCTTTTGCTTCCGCTCCGATTCTTTCGCATCCCAATCCTGGGTTGCCCTTCGTCCTCGAAGTTGATGCTTCCGAGACGGGAGTAGGGGCTCTCCTGTCTCAGCGTCGGTCGCCCGATGGACCCCTACTTCCCTGCGGGTTTCTACTCCAGGAAGCTTTCCTCGGCTGAGTGCAACTACCAGATTGGAGATAGGGAGTTGTTGGCAATCATTCTGGCTCTCAAGGAATGGATGGCATCTGCTCGAGGGTTTTCGCGGTTGCGGTCCTCATTCTTACCGATCACAAGAACCTGACCTATCTTTCGGAGGCCAAGAGATTGACACCCCGCCAGGCCAGATGGGCTCTGTTCTTGTCACGCTTCAACTATGTGGTTTCATATTTGCCTGGTTCCAAGAATGTCAGGGCTGATGCGTTATCACGCCAATACTCTGAGTTGTCCAGGGAGGACTCTGAGCCAATCTCACTTATACCTCCAGATCAGATCCTGGCTGCCATTCGCACCAGTCTGACCTCTCC